GGGCTTAGGGGCATTTGGGAGTGACTAGGGTGTTAGTTAGATGTAGTGGAGGCGGGAGGGGGGGGTTTAAAAAAAAAAATATTCGGCATGACAGTGCCGCTTTAACATATATAGTGAACATGATTAATACAAATTACTTACGTCATCTCTTAAATAAGCCGAAAATGGTGCCAGGGATGCTGGAAACACAACTGTGCCTAAAAGAGTGATGACATATGACGCACAGGAGTCAAAAAGCAATTGACGCTAACGCCTCTAATGAGAAGACATGTAACTATAGAAACCAGTCACTAAAGACAGAGCAGTGGCAGGCATCTAAAAATGTGGTGACGTGGAGCGCCATAAGACGAGTCTCAATTAAGGAACAGATTACAAAGAATAAATAAAGCCAACGGCAACTGGATGCAGCCATGAGAGCACTGGGGACTACGCCATGATGGATAAAATGTCTACGCAATGATTTGAGCTACATCTCCTGTCCAATCAAGTGCTGGAAAAGCAAGATGATTAATGGGTAGAAGACAGCCACTAAATGCTGATTAGATATAGATATAGATATAGAGATAGATATAATCTCCAAGCAGGTTTGCTTTAAACACTTTGACTGCAACTATTGAGACAGACCAGTAGACATGGATTGTCTGCTTTTTATCCTTGCTGTGCCTGTGTTATGGATCCTAGTGTGCCTGTCTAGCTTCTGCCACTTATACTAACTCTGAGTGGGAGATAGATGGCCAGCCTTGGTCATTGATCCTAATGTGAGATTGCTTAGGTTTATGCTATGAAAATTATTTTCATCTTGGGAGTGTGTTCAGTCTAGTGTTTGCTGTGCGTGTGCGGTTTCTTTAAGTCAAAGACCTTGATAACATTACAGAACTAATTAATCCACCAAGTAGGAACTTATTTATCACAAACATCTATTTGGGCTTAGCAAAGTTTTGATATTAGACAATACACACATTCTTATCCCAATATATTTTAACAATAATAACAAACCCATTCATTCTTTCCTTCTTTTTTGATCACGTGTGGAACCCAGAATCAAAAAGCATCCGAATATATTCGTGTATCACCTGGTTTGCTCAGGTAAAGCACTTTGCAGATACAGAATTCATCCAAAGAGTTAATGGACCTAATTTTGTCCAAAGTGAGTCTAGCAGAAAGCTAAGCAGGGGCTTCCAGTCATCACTGAACTGTAGTGGAGACAAAGACACCTGCTGGATCCCTGGTAAGAAGTCAAAATGTTCTAAAATGGTTTGACTCATTACAATGAGGGGAAACAAAGGCATGTCTGGCACCATAACCACTACAGTGGATCTTCGTGTTTTTGGTGCTTGGATTGGTCCATGAATGATCTTTTACACAGCGGTTTAGGGGTTCAAATAGACCAACATTGGAGCATTGTTTCAGATAACGGGAGCACGTGTTTGCCAATTGGCGTGCTCGATGAGGTCTGCCAAAGACGGTCTTCTAGTGAGTAGGGTTTGGTGCAAGCATAGCGGCGCGGCAGGACGGAAAAGTACTGCCATGCTCTGGGACAGCAGGGAAGCCCGGTAATATTTGGTGATGTTGGGAATGCCCAAGCCTCCTTGTGAGTATGAATACGATCCTTGTTTTTTTTTTTCCCCACCCCGATATGAGAGTTGATCTTGTGTTGAAATTTTTAAAGTAATTTATTCGACAAGGCGATAGGGATAGTGCGGAAAAGGCACAAAATATGAGGCAATGCCATAATTTTTATTGTGTGTGCACAGCCCAGCTACGACACCCCCAGGACCCACCAACTATTCAACTGGGTCTCTAGTCTGTGCAATAAAGGAATATGGTTTTCTTTAATCAAGAAGGAACTAGATTTGGTTAACTTTTTGCTCAGGTACGTGAGGGAGACTTTACGCCAATCAAACAGATAAGAGCTAGATAGCTGGAAGACAACTAAGTTTGGCAGTCCTAGCAGCAAGTCCTGGGTTATTTTTGCGTTTTTATAGTACGATATCGTGCTGTACCTATTCAGCAATTTATCTAAATGAGGTAATGATTCGGTAGGTTTCGTAAAAAAAAAATAAAAAAAACACGAGCACATCAGCAAAGAGCCATTTTCTGTTCTCCGCTTGGTGTAGGCAGCCCACAAATGTCCGCATGTCATTTTATGTGTCTAACCAGGGATTCAAAGCTCAATATAAAGATCAGTGGGGACAATGGGCAACCTTGGCGAGTTCCATTTGTAATTTCAAATTTTAGGTATTAAAAAAAAACAAAACCCCCCCCCCAGTATTAAAGACCTTTGCTGAGGGTTTCGAATATAGTGTCATAATACTATCCACAGATGGGGGGAAGCCTAATTTTTGTAAGACACTCTACATATAATCCCAGTTTAAGCGAACGAACACTTTTTCCACATCCAAGGCGAGCAGGACCTCTTGGTGGTTATTGGTGCGTGCCCATTCGATAAGGTTGATCTAGTGCCTTGTGTTGTCCCCTACTTGTCTGCCTGGAACAAACCCAGCCTGCTCCTTGGAAACTAGCTCTAGCAGACATGACTTTATTCGGGCCACCAGTAACTTGGCATAAAGTTTTATGCCCGCATTAAAGCGGCACTGTCATGCCGAATCCTGTGTTTTTTTAAGCCCCCTCTGGCCTCCACTATCTCTAACTGAACCCCTAGTCACCCCCAAATGCCCCTAAGCCCCCCACATTACCTATTTTTGTATCTTTATTTTCTGCCCCGATCTATATTCAGGGCCCAGCCATCTTTGTGTTGGTAGATGAAGTCCCTGTGGGACACGTCATCTCACTAGACAGACTGTGAGATTCCCGCACATGCCCAGTGAAACACCTGGACATGCGAACGGGAATTTCATCTATTCATTCATTCATCAGACAGATGAATGAGTGAATGGAAATATCAGCCGAACAAACAAACACTGTATCAGTGTATCTGAGTATCAGTGTTCGTTTGTTTGATCAGTTTATTACAAGGAGGGAGTTACCGGCACGCAGCTCCCTCCTTGTAATATGTAACTATAGAAGCGGCAGGGAGCAGTGCTCCCCACCACTTCATAAGCCCCCCTGTCCTCCCTCACGCTATGGGGGTCAATATGACCCCCACAATAGCACAAGGGAGATTAAAATCTCCCCAATGCCCCTACTCGCTATACTGCGAGTAGGGGCATGTCCACTACTGTGGCTGCTCACTGTAAAACAAAAACAAAACAAACAACTATTGGCCCCCACCCCTAAACGACGGGTGGGGGTCCTAAAGTAAAATAAGGGGGGAGACCTATTGTCCGCACCCACCCCTGCGCGGCGGGTGGGGGCCATATTGATAATGGGGGGGACCCCACCCCTGGGCGGTGGCCATAATGATAATGAAGGGGGGGGGGAACTACTGCCCCCCCGGCCCCCACCCCTGCGTGGCGGGTGGGGGCCATATTGATAATGAGGGGGAGGGACCTACTGTCCACCCTCCCCGGCCCCCACCCCTGGGTGGCAGGTGGGGGCCATATTGATAATGAGGGGGGAAGGACCTACTGTCCACCCCTACTGTCCTCCCCCCCCGGCCCCCACCCCTGGGCTGCGGGTGGGGGCCCTAAGTAAATCCCCCCCCCCCAAGGTGACTAGGGGTCCCCACGCCCCTAGTCACCCACCCAAATAAAAAGTCCCTACCTACCTCACCCTAAAAGATAGTGAGGGGGGGAATAAAATAACTAACCTGTAAAATAAAATTAAACTTACCATTCAACGTCTTCTTTTTTCTCAAATCTTCATTTTTCAGCCCCAAAAAAGGCCAAATAAAAAACCATCATAACCGTCGAAATAAAAAAAAAAAAATTTAAAAAAAATCCAGAGCGCAAAAAAAAAACCTGACGAAAAAGAAAAAACCTGAGCGCAAAAAAATAATCCATCTTCACCCATGGAGGGCTCCGTGCAGACTGAGCTCCGCAGGGCGGGGGAAGGCTTATAAAGCCTTGCCCCGCCCTGCAATTAGGCTAAGAACACTGATTGGTGGGTTAAAGCCAATCAGAGTGCTCTGTGTCATTTTACACAGCGTGGGAAAGTTCTTTGGAATTTTCACACGCTGTGTAAAATGACACAAAGCACTGTGATTGGATGGATTTCAAGCCATCCAATCACAGTGCTCTGTGTCATTTTACACAGTGGGAAAGTTCTTTGGAATTTTCCCACGCTGGGTAAAATGACAAAGAGCACTCTGATTGGCTTAAACCCACCAATCAGAGTGTTTATAAGCCTTCCCCCGCCCTGCGGAGCTCAGTCTGCACGGAGCCCTCCATGGGTGAAGATGGATTATTTTTTTGCGCTCAGGTTTTTTCTTTTTCGTCCGTTTTTTTTTTTTGCACTCTGGATTTTTATTTTTTTTAAAGTTCGACGGTTATGATGGTTTTTTATTTGGCCTTTTTTGGGGCTGAAAAATGAAGATTTGAGAAAAAAGAAGACGTTGAATGGTAAGTTTAATTTTATTTTACAGGTTACTTATTTTATTCCCCCCCTCACTATTTTTTAGGGTGAGGGTGGTAGGTAGGGACTTTTTATTTGAGTGGGGGGGGTGGGTGACTAGGGGCCCCCTAGTCACCTTGTGGGGGGGGAAATTGACTTAGGGGCCCCCACCCGCCGCCCAGGGGTGGGGGCCGGGGGGGGGGAGGACAGTAGGTCCCCCCCTCATTATCCTTATGGCCCCCACCCGCCGCCCAGGGGTGGAGGCCGGAGGGGGGGGACCTTAGGGGCGGGAGGACAGTAGGTCCCCCCCTCATTGTCTTTATGGCAATTTACACTAAACTGCCGAATTGCGTTCTAACTGAATGAGAACAGTATGTTCGTTTGTTCGTTTGTTTTAGAACGCAATTCGGCACTTTATTCGGATCGGAATTTCATTAATTTCAATTAATGAAACTCCGATCCTATCCTTGCTGTGGCTGCATCTTGCAGCCGCTTAGTAGATAACTCCCTAATTCCCACGGTATTAGGGAGCTATCTACTAAAAGGCTGAAAGACCTAAATTGGTCTTTCAGCCACATTTACTAATACTAAGTAAAAATTACTTAGAATTGCGTTCTAAAACAAACGAACATACTGTTCTCATTCAGTTAGAACGCAATTCGGCAGTTTAGTGTAAAGTGACAGGAAGCATTGTGGGAACACAGAGGAAAGGTGAGAATCATGGGAAAATTGCTCTGACCAGCGGAAATGAAGCACACTTTGCTCCTCCGCTGGTCAGAGCTGGCCAAGCGGAGGAATCCTCCATAAGGCAAAGAGTCCCTACTTTGTCTTATGATTTTAAAGAAAACTAAAGAAGACAGGAAGAAAAGAAGAGCAGATCCTGAGAGAGGCAGAGAAGAGGAAGAGATTGAGGAAAGGTAAATTCGGCATGACAGTGCCGCTTTAAGAAGCCGAGGACTCCGAGCACTCCAACCGACACCATCAGCACTGCAGACCCCACTTCCAGTGATGCAGCTGCGCCGGGGTCTCGTCATCTTTCACCCACCCTGGATCCACGACCAGGATTCAGCTCCCAGTGGGTGAACCTCTCCTAAATCCAGAGAGTGTAGCAGGAACAAATCAAGCTCTTACAAGAGCTTACTCTGGGGAGTAAGTGATTATAGCAATCCCCAGAGTGTGGGTATCCCTTCCCCCAAGCATGAGCCAAGGCTTCAAGAAAGGTGCAAGTAGGTCTGGTTTATTGAGGGCTACCTGCCTGGTATTTATGCATAGAAACATAGAACATAGAAACATAGAATGTGACGGCAGATAAGAACCATTCGGCCCATCTAGTCTGCCCAATTTTCTAAATACTTTCATTGTCTTTATGGCCCCCACCCGCCGCCCAGGGGTGGGGGCCGGAGGGGGGGGTGGAGAGTAGGTGTCCCCCCCCATTATCATTATGGCCCCCACCCGCCGCCCAGGGGTGGGGGCCGGGGGGGAGGACAGTAGGTCCCCCCTCATTGTCTTTATGGCCCCCACCTGCCGCCCAGGGGTGGGGGCTGGGCAGTAGGACCCCCCCCCATTATCATTATGACCCCCACCCACCGCGCAGGGGGGGGACAATAGGTCTCCCCCCTTATTTTACTTTAGGCCAATAGTTTTTGTTTTTTTTGTTTACCAGACATGCCCCTACTCGCGGTATAGCGAGTAGGGGCATATTATTTACTAATACTAAGTAATTTTTACTTAGTATTAGTAAATGTGGCTGAAAGACCAATTTAGGTCTTTCAGCCTTTTAGTAGATAGCTCCCTAATACCGTGGATCGGAATTTCATTAATTTCAATTAATGAAACTCCGATCCTATCCTTGCTGTGGCTGCATCTTGCAGCCGCTTAGTAGATAACTCCCTAATTCCCACGGTATTAGGGAGCTATCTACTAAAAGGCTGAAAGACCTAAATTGGTCTTTCAGCCACATTTACTAATACTAAGTAAAAATTACTTAGAATTGCGTTCTAAAACAAACGAACATACTGTTCTCATTCAGTTAGAACGCAATTCGGCAGTTTAGTGTAAAGTGACAGGAAGCATCGTGGGAACACAGAGGGAAGGTGAGAATCATGGGAAAATTGCTCTGACCAGCGGAAATGAAGCACACTTTGCTCCTCCGCTGGTCAGAGCTGGCCAAGCGGAGGAATCCTCCATAAGGCAAAGAGTCCCTACTTTGTCTTATGATTTTAAAGAAAACTAAAGAAGACAGGAAGAAAAGAAGAACAGATCCTGAGAGAGGCAGAGAAGAGGAAGAGATTGAGGAAAGGTAAATTCGGCATGACAGTGCCGCTTTAAGAAGCCGAGGACTCCGAGCACTCCAACCGACACCATCAGCACTGCAGACCCCACTTCCAGTGATGCAGCTGCGCCGGGGTCTCGTCATCTTTCACCCACCCTGGATCCACGACCAGGATTCAGCTCCCAGTGGGTGAACCTCTCCTAAATCCAGAGAGTGTAGCAGGAACAAATCAAGCTCTTACAAGAGCTTACTCTGGGGAGTAAGTGATTATAGCAATCCCCAGAGTGTGGGTATCCCTTCCCCCAAGCATGAGCCAAGGCTTCAAGAAAGGTGCAAGTAGGTCTGGTTTATTGAGGGCTACCTGCCTGGTATTTATGCATAGAAACATAGAACATAGAAACATAGAATGTGACGGCAGATAAGAACCATTCGGCCCATCTAGTCTGCCCAATTTTCTAAATACTTTCATTGTCTTTATGGCCCCCACCCGCCGCCCAGGGGTGGGGGCCGGAGGGGGGGGTGGAGAGTATGGCATCTTGCAGCCGCTTAGTAGATAACTCCCTAATTCCCACGGTATTAGGGAGCTATCTACTAAAAGGCTGAAAGACCTAAATTGGTCTTTCAGCCACATTTACTAATACTAAGTAAAAATTACTTAGATCATTGGCAGCAGAAGTGAAATGGAACGAACAAGCTTTTATGGATGTTTTCTTGAATGGGTTGTCTGATGAAATTTTAGATGAAATTGCCACAAGAGAACTTCCGGAAAAATTTGAGGATTTAATATCCTTCATTTCCAGAATAGATGAATGCATGAGACAGAGGCAGAACACTCGGGAAAGAGTTACTAGACTTCCTGTAAGACTCACTCCCTCATTTCAGAACCCTGACTCCTATAATCCTACTCCACCAGAACCTATGCAAATAGGTAATACTCGCTTATCTGAGGCTGAGAGACAGTACAGGAGAAGGGAGGGTCTCTGTTTATACTGACGTCTTAGTTGCCCTAATCGTCCGGGAAACGCTCGCACCTAAGTTCCCTTAGAGGATGGGCCTTGGGTGTTTCATTACTGTCCTCTATGCATAATAAAAAAGACCATAGGCTTCTGATTCCTGTCTCTCTAGCTTGGGAAAAGGGGTTTATTGCTACGATGGCATTATTAGATTCTGGAGCAGCAGAAAGCTTTATAGACCAAACTTTCGCTAATAAGCATTGTATCCCATTCCAATTGAGAGATACACCCTTGGCCGTTGAGGCCATAGATGGTAGACCTTTATCTGAACCAGTAATATTCCATGAGACCGAACCCGTTAAGCTTACTGTTGGTATTTTCCACGAAGAGTTGATTTCCCTTCTGTTAATTTCCTCCCCGGCAGTCCCAGTGGTTCTAGGATATTCTTGGCTCAAGAGACACAACCCTCAGATTGACTGGGAGGGTGGAGAAATCGTTTCTTGGGGTATGGGTTG